TCACAGTGTTCAAGAGAGAACTGGATAAGCACCTCCAAAGGATACCTGATCAACCAGGCTGTGACTCACTCATACGTCAGGCTGCGAGCAGCCGCGTCCAACAGCCTGGTTGATCAGTCCGGCAACCAGGAGGCCTGGTCGACGACCGGGCCGCGGGGACGCTAAGCCCCGGAAGCACCTCAAGGTAAGGTACTCATTGACACAGCCCACGACCAGAGTATGTTCTTGTTATAGATTCAGCTACTCACAACAAAAAGTTCCAAGTAGCACGGGCTATGGTGAGCCCGTAGTGGACTTACCTGGCATAGGAGCGGAGGACCGGAGTACACTCTAGGCGTATATATACAGCCAGATGCAGGCGTTAGTCATAATAACGTGGCTGAAGTAGTTTGACCAGACCACACATTAGAAGGTGAAGGGACGACGACGTTTCGGTCCGTCATGGACCATTCTCAAGTCGATTGTGTCACACTCGACTTGTCACAGTCACAAGGTAGAGGGACAGAACCAGCAGGAATAAGTCACAAACGACTTGAGAATGGTCCAGGACGGACCGAAACGTCGTCGTCCCTTCACCTTCTAGTGTGTGGTCTGGTCAGATATACACCCAGAAGCTGGGTACACCTCTCCATACCTGGAGTTGAAACTTGGATATTACCAAGTGCATCTTTAAGTATTTATTTGAAAACAAACACTACTCGGTGGTGATGTAAAGCAAAATATAAAGTTATGTTAGACTATATACAAGAACCTGCTAAGCAATGTAAAAACAAAAAGATGACTCATAATTATTAACTCTGAAGAAACCAAAAACATAGACAGAGATTCACTTCAGAAACCCACAAAATATTAAGAAGCTCAAGAAAATCTGCCGGAAGTTAGACCATATACCAGAATTATTGTTATCCAGGACAGCACGGAGCTGTTTAATGTACAATGACTCCATTAATCTACGATCAAAGGCGCCACTGCAATTATGTATAATTTCAGTCAGATTTATGAAATAAATGATATAGAACTTTGGAGTATATCCAAGGTAACCTCTGGAACAGTTGGCGGAGGCGCAGTGGTAACACACGCACCTCGCGAGCGATTTGATCTGGGTTCGAGTCCTGGCCAGGGAGGATTGACTACGCTCCAATTCTTGCATGTTTGCCCCTATTCATCCAGCAGTAATTGAATACCTGGTTGTTAACTGATTGGCGGGTGTTGTTCCAAGGAAAACTAGTGGGTAAAGCTTACTAAGGGAAGGGAAAGCTCTCAGCCCGCTAAATAGAGTCAGAAGTCATCTGTACCTGTTCCAACCTGTGTAAAAAAGGAGGCTGTCCATGAACTAAAAATAGGAACCGATTGTGCATGAACTTGTAAAAATAAATCTCAAGTCGTCCTGGAGATGATGTTAAGCATCTGACGAAGATGACGTTAACGGGACACATATATAATACCATGATGTTTAATGAGGATAAGTTCCAGCTCCTGCGCCTTGGAGAAAATGAAAATATCAAAATGGAAACCACGTATACAACACAGTCGAACTATGGAACGAAAAGGCTCAATACAAGAGATTTGGGAGTAGTCATATCGGAGGACCTTACTTATAAAGAACACTATAAAGTACTTATAAAGAACACTATAAAGTAGCTGTCACAACTGTAAAAAAAATGACAGGTTGGATTGCCAAGAACCTTTCAAACAAAAGATGATGATACTTTTCAAGACACTTAGTGCTCTTTAGAGTGGAATATTGTAGGACAATAACAGCCCCATTCAAAGCTATAGAAAATGCTGACCTGGAGAGCGTACAAAGATATTTTACTGCTAGAATCCACACAATAAAACACCTAAATTATTGGGACAGCTTAAAATGTTTAAATCTGTATTCCCTAGAGAGCAGGCGGGAGATACATAATAATTTTATACTTGGAAATACTAGAAGAAGTGGTTCCACATCTGTACACAGAAATAACACCACATGAGACCAGGAGGCATGGCAGGATGTGCACCCTTGAAAACCTGAGGCGCAAGTGACACACTAAGAGAGAATTCTACCAACATGAAAGACCCAAGACTTGACAACACTCCCTCTACACATATGAGGCATGACTGGCCGGCAGTGGTCAAAGGAGAACTTAATAAACACCTTGAAAGGATACTTGATCGACGAGGCTGTGATTCATACGTCAAGCTACGCACATCTGCGTCGAAGAACCGAGTCTGATAGTTGACCGGACCACCAACCTCGTGGCCTGATGAGAGACCGGGCCGCTGGGACACAAAGATCCTGGGAATCATTGTAAGGTAGTTGAAAGGTTAGGGATATTGTTGAAACAATTTACTGGATAGATTTCTGACCAAAATATAGTAAATATAGTAAATATATGGCCAATTAATATACCTACTGACTTGCTCAGTGGTGAACATTTGAGGGGAAGGGAGCAGATAACAGTTAAGATATTTTTAATATCTTAACTGTTATCCTGTTATTTCAACTTAATATTTTAAAATGTTTTGAAGAATAAATTCTGTCCCTCCCCCTCAAATTTCCACTAAGACATTACGTATACTGATTTACCATATTAACGATTTGTTGGTTTTTCGATCAGAAAACAACCCGATCAACTGTTCCAGCGGTATTATCCCCCAAGACGATTTTAAATTCATTGTTACGAGTTCGGAGACAACTGGATCTGTGTAATAGTTAACAGTGGCGACATTTGGAGTGTCTGGAGAGAAGAGAGAAAAATGTCCAGTAGGCTTGTAGCCTCCTTAAACCATTTGGCGCCAAGAGCAGAGGGCGCTGGCATCAGTTACTGCCAGGCGGCGCTGGAGGGCAGACGTGTGTGGCTCGGGTCTCAGGGTAAATGTCCGTAAACTGCTATTTATTATTTGACTATTTTACAAGAATACTTGAAGGGGTACCCGGCTGCGCCTGGGCCTCTTTCTCCCTTATTACCACTATCCCCCTATCCTTCTCTTCCCCCTCACCCCATATACACCCGTTCACATTTTCTGCTACATCACCCCTCATCCACTCAACCCCTCTCCCCTCCCCCCTCTTCCACACTCCCCACCTTTCACCTCACCTTCTCGTCCCTTCTCTTCCAGCATCTCCCTCTCCCTCCCTCCCTGTATATCTCTCCCTCGCTCCCCCCTCCCTGTTTCTGCCCTCTCCCTCTTTTCTCTCTATTTCCCCATGTGAAGAGCAAAGCAATTAATTTAATTGTTCCTGATTATTTTTTATTGAAGACCTATTAATATCACTGATTATTTTTGATTGAAGGTCAATTAATAGAAGTAATGTGTGGAGTGATATGAATATCGGTGGGCCCGAACCAATGGCCCCCCTCTCCCCTACACCACGGCGTCATCACAGAAAACGGGGCGGCGAGCTCGGTAGGGCAAGCGACCGGGCGGGACTCTTGGAGCAGTCCGTCCTCCCGAGGTTTCCCATCGTCAAGAAACTGTCGTACTAAACTGCCCTTATCCTAACTTACCAGAGGATCACAAACAGAAAACGAGACAGTATGTCAATTTCGCGAGCCGCTATCATTTCCTAGTACGACGATTTTTGGTCTTAGGTAGAGAATATGTGATAATGCAATGTTCTATGAGAATGATAGGTTGCATGGAGCAGGTAAGCTCTCTCTCTCTCTCTCTCTCTCTCTCTCTCTCTCTCTCTCTCTCTCTCTCTCTCTCTCTCTGCCTCTTACGGAAGTCTCACCATTTCGTTCGTATGCGTTACATAAGACCAAAAATCACCGTACTAGAAAATGGAAGAAGAGCCTCGCGAAAGTGTCGTATTGTCCCGTTTTCTGTTTTGGGTCCTCTGGTAGGTTAGGAGAGGACACTTTAATTTGACCGTTATCTTGAGGTTATCTTGAGATGATTTCGGGGCTTTTTTTTTTTAGTGTCCCCGCGGGAGAGATCCAGCAAGAAATGAATAAGTCCACACTTTAAAATGTTAGAGGAACCCTTCTCACAACCACAGTGGGAGAGACAGACAGACCAGCAGACACACAATGATGCCGCCAGGTTCATGCATTACAAGTACATAAACAAAATCGCTGAAGGAATATACTTTCGGATGGAAAAAAAATAAAGAATTTGGAGTCGTCCAGTGAGCATGAAGGGCTTAGGAGAGGATATAGTGGGAGATATTGCGACGGCCTTTATCCTGCATGGATAAAGACTGGCCAACATAAGACTGCCTTCAGAAACTTGTGTAAGGAATCTTTCAGAACCCTGTATACCACTTATGTAAGACCAATCCTGGAGTATGCAGCTCCAGCCTGGAGTCCATACCTAGTTAAACACAAGACAAAGTTAGAGAAGATTCAGCGGTATGCCACCAGGCTCGTCCCGGAACTGAGAGGATTGAGCTACGAGGAAAGGCTAAAGGAGCTGAACCTCACATCCCTGGAAAACAGAAGAGTAAGGGGAGACATGATAACCACCTACAAAATTCTCAGGGGAATTGACAGGGTGGACAAAGACAAACTCTTCAGCACGGGTGGGACACGAACAAGGGGACACAGGTGGAAACTTAGTACCCAGATGAGCCACAGAGACGTTAGAAAGAATTTTTTCAGTGTCAGAGTAGTTAATAAATGGAATGCACTAGGAAGTGATGTGGTGGAGGCTGACTCCATACACAGTTTCAAATGTAGGTATGATAGAGCCCAGTAGGCTCAGGAGTCTGTACACCAGTTGATTGACAGTTGAGAGGCGGGACCAAAGAGCCAAAGCTCAACCCCCGCAAGCACAATTAGGTGAATTAGGTGAGTACACACACACACACACACAGAGTAAAGATCAACCAGAGAGCGCAGCATCCATCCATCATTAAATTTTAGTCAAACTCACACACTTCCAACAACAGGGTCACACTCACACACACACTCCCAGTAACATGGCCACACTCACACACACACTCCCAGTAACATGGTCGCACTCACACACACACTCCCAGTAACATGGCCACACCGTCAGGCGGCGTTGAACTAGGTGTGGGTGTGGACGTGTGGAATTGGGGGTGTGGGCGTATAGCCTTGATTGTGGGCGTGGAGAGTTGGGTGTGGACGTGTGCGCTGATGGAGGAAGTCAGGGTGGGCGCGGTATCCCTCCGCGAATCTGAATAAATTCAATTACACCCTGGCCGGCCACTTAATATTCAGCTCTCTTGCGCTCTGCTCGTCCGCCTTCACTGGCCGCCTCCCTCTGAGTCCCTCATCGTCTTGTTTTACACAACTTTCTCACTTGGCGGCCAACGGTGCCTGCCTCGCCAATATCATTCCCGGCAGATCAATATCAAGCTGAATGACCGGGTAGATTTGCCTCAAGGGGGAGGAAGAGCGAAGCAAACGCCGGCGCTCTAAAGCGTTTGGGAACTGATGGAATTGCCAAACCAGATCTCAAGAGTGAGTGAGGCGAGGCTAGAGTGTCGTAGCGTGACGTATCTATCACCTGTGCGCGGATTCCAAAGGTAAATATATATGCTGACGGCGGATTTGCATCTATTTTTGCGGATGAGTGTTTAAAGCAGCGCGGCGCTTCGTGTCTTGTGCTGACGTTCCTCTTAGTGCTGGCCTATTATGCTAACACTTGTTGGCCACGACTGTGGAGCCGGCAGGAGGCTTGCTGTGTGCGGGTGAGGCCTGCTGTGTGCGGGTGAGGCTTGCTGTGTGCGGGTGAGGCCTCCTGAGTGTGGGTGAGGCCTGCTGTGTGTGGGTGAGACCTGACGGGTGTGGGTGAGACCTGACGGGTGTCTCACCCAACGGGTTCATTCCGCCGTGTAGTTGGTTGAGCCAGAGCTTCCCAGTCGTGTGAATCTGGCAGCCAGCTGTATCACCCCACAAATCCGGCCTGCGCCGAGTCCACCTCACTCGTAACATTTAAAGAGAGGACAATTTGCGGCTCTCTTTCGCCTGTAAAGCCGGCAATATTGCTGCAGCATACCTCAGTGTCGGGGTATACTGACAGGTATAGCCAGACATACCCATCAACAGCCCTTTCTCGCTCGACATGAAGATGTAGCCAGCAATGTCTTCACTGCTGCTGCTGACACAGATACTGCTGCTGACACAGATACTGCCGCTGACACAGATACTGCTGCTGACACAGATACTGCTGCTGACAGATACTGCTGCTGACACAGATACTGCCGCTGACGCAGATACTGCTGCTGACACAGATACTGCTGCTGACAGATACTGCTGCTGACACGGATACTGCTGCTGACACAGATACTGCTGCTGACACAGATACTGCTGCTGACAGATACTGCTGCTGACACGGATACTGCTGCTGACACAGATACTGCTGCTGACACAGATACTGCCGCTGACACAGATACTGCTGCTGACAGATACTGCTGCTGACACGGATACTGCCGCTGACACAGATACTGCCGCTGACACAGATACTGCCGCTGACACAGATACTGCCGCTAACACAGATACTGCCGCTGACACAGATACTGCCGCTGACACAGATACTGCCGCTGACACAGATACTGCTGCTGACACAGATACTGCTGCTGACACAGATACTGCCGCTGACACAGATACTGCTGCTGACACAGATACTGCTGCTGACACAGATACTGCTGCTGACACAGATACTGCCGCTGACACAGATACTGCTGCTGACACAGATACTGCTGCTGACACAGATACTGCTGCTGACACAGATACTGCCGCTGACACAGATACTGCTGCTGACACAGATGCTGCCGCTGACACAGATACTGCTGCTGACACAGATACTGCGGGTGACACAGATACTGCGGGTGACACAGATACTGCTGCTGACACAGATACTGCCGCTGACACAGATACTGCTGCTGACAGATACTGCTGCTGACACAGATACTGCTGCTGACACAGATACTGCCGCTGACACAGATACTGCTGCTGACACAGATACTGCTGCTGACACAGATACTGCTGCTGACACAGATACTGCTGCTGACACAGATACTGCTGTTGACACAGATACTACCGCTGACACAGATACTGCTGCTGACACAGATACTGCTGCTGACACAGATACTGCTGCTGACACAGATACTGCTGCTGACACAGATACTGCTGTTGACACAGATACTACCGCTGACACAGATACTGCTGCTGACACAGATACTGCAGCTGACACAGATACTGCTGCTGACACAGATACTGCCGCTGACACAGATACTGCTGGTGACACAGATACTGCTGGTGACACAGATACTGCTGCTGACACAGATACTGCTGTTGACACAGATACTGCTGCTGACACAGATACTGCTGCTGACACAGATACTGCTGCTGACACAGATACTGCTGCTGACACAGATACTGCTGTTGACACAGATACTGCTGCTGACACAGATACTGCTGCTGACACAGATACTGCTGCTGACACAGATACTGCTGCTGACACAGATACTGCTGCTGACACAGATACTGCCGCTGACACAGATACTGCTGCTGACACAGATACTGCCGCTGACACAGATACTGCTGCTGACAGATACTGCTGCTGACACAGATACTGCTGCTGACACAGATACTGCCGCTGACACAGATACTGCTGCTGACAGATACTGCTGCTGACACAGATACTGCCGCTGACACAGATACTGCCGCTGACACAGATACTGCTGCTGACACAGATACTGCTGCTGACACAGATACTGCCGCTGACACAGATACTGCTGCTGACAGATACTGCTGCTGACACAGATACTGCCGCTGACACAGATACTGCCGCTGACACAGATACTGCTGCTGACACAGATACTGCTGCTGACACAGATACTGCTGCTGACACAGATACTGCTGCTGACAACCAGACGCCCATGATGATTCTACTGTCTATAGTGATCGTCACTGTAGATGTAGATAGTGTGGATAGTCTCTATTCAAAAATATGTACGACAGAGACAGCGTAAAGCAATGATTAATGATTTATTATAGAAATTGCGTACGCATTGAGATAAATCAATGATACTCACATAGACGTACGCAAAACCTCGGCCAATTGATCAAAGTGCTGAAAAATGTAATGACATGAATGCATGCATAAAACTACATACGTATACAACACCGCCCCCCCCCCGCCCTAAACACACACAGGATGAGGGGAGAGGCGGGACCAAAGAGCCTAAGCTCAAACCCCCGCAAGCACAACTAGGTGAGAACACACACACACACACACACACACACACACACACACACACACACACACACACACACACACACACACACACACACACACACACACACTATATGATAGAGCCCAGTAGGCTCAGGAATCTGTACACCTGTTGATTGACAATTGAGAGGCGGGACCAAAGAGCCAGAGCTCAACCCCCGCAAGCACAATTAGGTGAGTACACACACACACACACACACACACACACACTCAGTATGCAGGAAAATGACAGTGAATGACCAAGTAACCAGACAACACAACGGGCAGGAGAAAATACAGGAAATTACAAGAAAATTTGTGAGGAACTGAATGTTAGTTTCAACAGTGTTGAGGAGTGAGCCGGAACAGCTGGCACCGGTAGGCGGTCACCCTAGATGACACACTCGACACATACTGAGGTACCGGCAGTGGACGTAACGACACAACTAGCATCAATACTGGAAACGAGAGCCATTAGACAAGACAACGTACCACCAATGGGGGTGTTCCAAACTGCCACACAAGCGTTCGGTGTACCTCCAGCTCTCATCTTTAATGATGCAATTGCGGAGGCAGTTGCTCCCAGCTTCTGGAAGACGGTAAAGGTGGTGCCAACACACAAGAACGGAGACCAGCAACAGGGACAAGCATCCCCCTGTAAAGTACTCGAAGGAATAATAAGGATAAAACTAGGTACACATGTTGATTATGTATGTAAACAAACACCAACATGGCTTTAGGGGGAAGGGGGAAATTATGCCTGAAGAACCTACTTGAGTTCTATGATCGAGTTCTAAGGAGCGACCATAAAACAGTTCAGACAAGGATCGATAGATTGTGTATTGTAGAACTGAGAAGTATTGGACATAATACCTCTCCAGTGGTTAAGAGGACTATTGTACTATTGCATGTACAATAGTCTCCAGAGACTTGTACATGTTTGGGAATCTAGCGAGAGTAAAGTATGTTAAGGTAATAACCAGAAGAAAGCACTCAGTTTTCTCCTGACTTTCTCCTGACAGCTGAGTGCTTTCTCCTGAGAAAGCATTCTTGATAGACAGGAGTCCTTGACAGTGAGGGAGGAGAACTCTGGCTGGCGGAGTGTAACAGCAAGTACCACTAAAGTAATGGTGTTGCGATACACCATTATTTCTCATTTATGTTAATGACATAACTGCGGCAGTTGAGTCCTACATGTCGACGTTCGCAGACGATGCAAAATTAATGAGAAAAGTCGAGACGGATGAGGACTGTAAGACACTCCAAGATAACTGGCACAAGATGCAGAGTTTGTCGGCCGAGACATGGCTTTTGGATTTCAACACCAGTAAGTGTAAGGTGACTAATATAAGAACAGGTAACAGGAGGTCAGTAGGATGGCAGCAATGAATGGCAAGTATTTCCTTGTAACTATAGACAAAGACCTGGGAGTGGACATAACACCAAGACCTGGGAGTGGACATAACACCAAGACCTGGGAGTGGACATAACACCAAGACCTGGGAGTGGACATAACACCAAGACCTGGGAGTGGACACAACACCAAGACCTGGGAGTGAACATAACACCAAGACCTGGGAGTGGACACAACACCAAGACCTGGGAGTGGACATAACACCAGGACCTGGGAGTGGACACAACACCAAGACCTGGGAGTGGACATAACACCAAGACCTGGGAGTGGACATAACACCAAGACCTGGGAGTGGACATAACACCAAGACCTGGGAGTGGACACAACACCAAGACCTGGGAGTGGACATAACACCAGGACCTGGGAGTGGACATAACACCAAGACCTGGGAGTGGACACAACACCAAGTCCTGGGAGTGGACATAACACCACTCCCAGGACCTGGGCATAACACCACTCCCAGGACCTGGGCATAACACCACTCCCAGGACCTGGACATAACACCACTCCCAGGACCTGGACATAACACCACTCCCAGGACCTGGACATAACACCAAGCCTGACTCCAGAAGCTCATAAAAAGGAAAAAGTCATAATTTTACATTGAAACAAAAATAATTGTATTTAATGCACAATGTAATTAATTCGAGGCTGGTATTAGCGAGTACCGCCACATGCTATTTGGGAAGTTCACCCGGCAAGGAAGACAACAGGTCAGCTACTGGGGCCTTAGTGTATACGGCAATCATCTTGAGGTTATCTTTAGGTTATCTTGAGATGATTTCCGGGCTTTAGTGTCCCCGCGGCCCGGTCCTCGACCAGGCCTCCACCCCCAGGAAGCAGCCCGTGACAGCTGACTAACACCCAGGTACCTATTTGCTGCTAGGTAACAGGGGGCATCAAGGTGAAAGAAACTCTGCCTATCGTTTCTCGCCGGCACCCGGGATCGAACCCGGGACCACAGGATCACGCGTCCAGTGTTCTGTCCGCTCAGCCACCATATCAACACTCGCAAGATTAAAATCATAATTCCTACTCAAATTGTTTGTATTTATTGTTTGTAATCGTACCAGACATAATTATTACAAACCCGCCTTCTCCCTCTTCCCCCTCATCGCTCTCTACCACGCCCACGCCCCATCACGCCCACGCCCACGCTCCATCACGCCCACGCCCCATCACGCTGTAGCGCGGGGGTGGGGGGAATAGCACTCTTTAGTCCATTTTTCCACCCACCAGTTAGCTCAGCCTAGAGTTCTCCCCCCAGAGTGCCTACTGCAGCCTCTCTAGTTCAACACCTGGTGACCCAGGTATTTGATTACCTAGTAGGTGTCACGACCACAAGGCATTGTGACCTGATCAGCTCCTCGAGACTCTACACAACTCTAGAACATTTCACTGCCACGAACGTATAAGAGAAACGAAAGGAAAGAGATGAATAATGAAGTAATTAGTGAGGGGTTTGGGGTGAGGGAGGAGGGAGGAGTGTGGTCAGGTGAGAGGGAGAGTGGGAGAGAGGGTTATATCTTGAGGTTATCTTGAGATGATTTCGGGGCTTTTTAGTGTCCCCGCGGCCCGGTCCTCGACCAGGCCTCCACCCCCAGGAAGCAGCCCGTGACAGCTGACTAACACCCAGGTACCTATTTTACTGCTAGGTAACAGGGGCATAGGGTGAAAGAAACTCTGCCCATTGTTTCTCGCCGGCGCCTGGGATCGAACCCAGGGCCACATGATCACAAGTCCAGCGTGCTGTCCGCTCGGCCGACTGGCTCCCATACGGAGGGTACGGAGATGAATAGGATGTAGTGGCAGAGGTAGAATGGAAGATAGGTAGAAGTAGAAAAGTAGATAGTAGAAGGTAGACTGCCACCATCCATTCAAGACCATTATATACAGCACAAGGAACGGAACTTGTCGGTATCACAAAATTTTCTAATATGTATCAAGAGGTCATTATTAGCATGAGTTAACTGGAATCATGTTCCAGACAAGAGTCTCTTAGTACTCTGCCCTCTAGTTGCCATATATCCAAAATTCCACGACACAACACCAAGATGCAAGATGGACTTACAATTAAAGTCCATTAAAAGTAAGTGAATCAATTATTTATTTAGCATGATAAATATCAGAATTCCAGCAATCGACCTGAAGATTCATCATTAATGTACCACAAGTGAGTCACTACACCAGCATTCGAGACCACTACATCCGTCTGCCCCCTGATAGTCACACAACACTAGTAAACTCGACTACGTCACCTTTCATGTTCAACTCACCAAGTGTCTGTCTAAAGCTGGATAGAGAGGGGGGGGGCTGTAGTTGACAGAGACTGTCCCGCCCCGTCCGGCTGACAGCCTCTTGGTTCTGCTCTGCTGGCTGTTCTCCTGTCTTCTGTCTCCTGACACAGCCATAGGTGTGTAAACACATGTAAACTAATGTAAACTAACTAATGTAAACGGACACATGTAAACTAATAAATAGACATAGGGGCCTCGTAGCCTGGTGGATAGCGCCCAGGACTCGTAATTCTGTGGCGCGGGTTCGATTCCCGCACGAGGCAGAAACAAATGGGCAAAGTTTCTTTCACCCTAAGTGTCCCTGTTACCTAGCAGTAAATAGGTACCTGCGAGTTAGTCAGCTGTAACGGGCTGCTTCCTGGGGTGTGTGTGTGTGGTGTGGAGAAAAAAAAAATAGTAGTTAGTAAACAGTTGATTGACAGTTGAGAGGCGGGCCGAAAGAGCAAAGCTCAACCCCCGCAAACACAACTAGTAAACAACTAGTAAACACATAAGTCGTAGTACGAGTAGCCTGGTGAACAAGTATACACGCGAGCAGCCTGGTATACAGGTATACATACGAGCAGCCTGGTATACAGGTATACATACGAGCAGCCTGGTGGTATACATGGAGGTATTCTGAAGATAGTAGCAGCCTCCCCCCCCCCCCCGTCATCCTGGCGGCCAGGCGGGCGATGATAACTGACTATATACACACTAAGCTAATTACATGGGATTATAATCCTAATCTGATGAGATTGAGGCAATCCATCAAGCAGATGAGGGCGGGAGTATTGACTAAAGGTGTACTGCACCTCCACCACACAGCACCTGTGTACACGGCAGTTCCACCACACAGCACCTGTGTACACGGCAGCTCCACCACACAACACCTGTGTACACGGCAGTTCCACCACACAGCACCTGTGTACACGGCAGCTCCACCACACAACACCTGTGTACACGGCAGCTCCACCACACAGCACCTGTGTACACGGCAGTTCCA